TTTCGAATATTGTCACTTAAATTGGAAAAACTCCCTCGCGCATTTAACCCTTCGGGGGGGCGCAAAAAGGAGGTGTGACAAGTACTGATTGACGAGAGCTGAGTCACGAGTGGCTGAGAGGCTTGCCCGAGTGGCTATACTTATGAGTGATACTTTGCCTGAGGGGCCTGTTTATGAGATTTTCTGTTTTCACTCTTCTTTTATACTAAGCCTCTACTGAAAAATGTTGAATAAACGCTTTAAAGGATTTTTCATTGAAACTAGAGTTTTTACTAGGTATTTGGTTATTGAACTGCAGATTTTGATTTTGATATTTCTGTTGAGATTCTTGATAAAGTATGCATATGATTTTAAATGCTTGTCACTGCACTCAGACTTTATTTACTTTGGTTACTTACTGAGTTGGCGTACTCACGTTACTCCCTGCACTTTGAGTGCAGATCCAAGTGCCAGAGCTTTCAGCAGCTTCTGTGTTTTTCCGGAGTTAGCAAGGTAGTTGCATGGCGTTCGCAGCCCTGTGTTTCTCCTTCTTATCCTAATACTTTATATTTCAGACTTATTTTGTATTAAGTAGACAGCGTTGAGTTGTACTTAGTGGCTCATGACTGGTGACACCAGATTCGGGCTGTGTTAATGTATTTACGTACTTGTTTCCGCGTATTTCTTTTGATATTTAAAAATAAAAGATTTGAGACATAATCTGTTTAGAAAAAAATGAATTTTACAAAAGATCTTCATATTGTTCGTATTGTTTTGGCTGGCCTAGTACCGTGATAGGCGCCATCACGACCGGGGTGTTTGGGGTCGTGGGGTCGTGACAATAAGTGACACATATCCCATTTTAGTATCAAAGTTTTGATTTAATTAACTAACGCAAGATCTTAACAATAGTTAGGGCAGCCCGTTGCACGAATTATCCCTCATTCATGCAGGATCCGAAATATATCACATTACTAACTAAAGAATAGGAATGACAACTTGGCAGTGCGGGGCGGGGCGGGTTTCAGCCTATGCGAGGCGGTGCGGGTTTGGGCTTCACGGGTGCGGTGCGGATTTATTTATTTATTTATTAAAATCTTTGTGGATCGTGGGGCGGGTCTTATTTTTTTTTTTTTAAATCACGTTCATGCCTAAAGGGCTGAAAACTAACCACAGTCACTAAGGGGCAATGCGGAGTGCGTGTTGTAGTGGATTATATTGTAATTTGGGAAAATGCAGGGATTCAAGTTTTTTATGGGGTAAATTTCTAATATGTACCCTATATTCAAGGTAGATACACATTCCTTTGTTTTAAAAAAATCATATACATCATTATATCATGAAAATTCTTCACGAATATAATTGTGTTATTCTTATCTCTCTTTTTTTTTTAATAAATCACTTAAAACATTGATGTAGTGCAAATTCTACATAAAGAAATATTTATCTAACTAAATAGATTTATAATATTAAAATGAAACAATAAAAAATATAACTACATAAAAATGAATTTTTTTATAAGTTAAATCCTTTTTAAAGGGTACAGTAGCTTAAGATTTCAAAAGCAAGAAAGCTATTACTAGTATTAAATCACATGTCTTATTCAATAATTTGTTGTCATTTCCTGTTTACAAGTTTTGAAAAATACATACTTAAAAAATACTTATTTTTGGTCTATGGGGAGTGTTATAATCAATAGAGAAATTAATAATGCAAATACTATAATAAGGGGATATTTGTGTTTTTTAAAATGAGCAGCAAGAACTTGTATTTTTTTAGTTGTCGAATTCAGTATATGAACAAAAAAAGAGCTTTCAATCTTTTGATTGATTAAATTCGAAAGTCCAATCAAAAGCTCAAAAGAAATAAAACTGAAAAAGTGAAGGAAAAAAAACTATGTGGAATGGGGCGTGACGGGTGACGGGGGATGTGGGTGTTGGTGTAGGGGCAGGTGTATGTGGGCGCAAATTGCCGTTACTAACTAAGGAAGGCTCTTAAACTCGGAGGAAGGAGATTGACTTTTAAGTCTGACTTTGTTGTTTAACTGCTTTGAGATTCCAACAGAGATCGCAATAAATTATTATCCGGATCTTTATTTATTAATCTACATAGAAGTAATTAAGGACCGTCAAACATGCCTGCGTTATTAACAGGGAACATCTTAACTCTATACTCCTTTAAAAGTTGTAGATCTATGGCTAGCTTAGTCAGCAATCCACTTCTCAAGACCTGATGCTTCCCAAAATCTTGGGTGGTACTAATTAAATTAAATAGCTACTCTATTAGTAGTAATTGTTAACTTAGAGCCCCTTTGGTCATGAGAAATTTTTTCCTTCTTTTTAAATGTTTTTTATTTTTTTCGAAATCAGCATTTGTTCATAAAATTTTCAATTTTTATTTGAAGACGCATTTTGAAAATTTTTGAAAATTTGAAAAACTCCAAAAACTTATTTTTTAAAATTTTCACTTAAATCACTTACAAAATTTCAAAAACAATCCAAAATTATATTCATGTTAAAACACAACTCAAAATTTCAAATACCGTTTTCAATTGAAATTTTTTTTTTACCTTTTTTTTTTTTAATTTTACATTTCTAATGTCCAAACGCCCACTTAGTATCCCCAGATAATACAGTAAAACCTTCGTTCAGCACTAGGCGCAGGATTCGAGCATAACTTTAAATTCAAAGTTGCACTATTAATGAATTACAGATTTACTCCAACGCTTAATGGATGAAAAGAAAGAAATAAAGTTTGTAAACCCCAGATTGAAAAACCAAAAAGTGGTTAAACGGTGTGGATTTAAGAAAAATAAATAATGAAATGGCTGATCCAACGCTTAAAAATTAAATATGATAAAGGTAATAAAAGCAAGAAACTATTGAATCAAGGGCACTATATCTTGAGTAAACAAGATGTAAATTTGTCTTTGTCTATTAGCTACCTTAGGCAAGTGTTCTTGTTATGCGATGTGGATTCATTATCGGTAAATACATATAGCAACATCTCTAGTAGTGATAAGATAAGGTATTTTAATAATATGTATTTATGACGTAAAAAAGAAAGGTCATGCATGTAACTTCAATAATTGGAGAGACGATTCCTGAAATGAACCAAAACTATTCTAAAGGAACTTCACTGCATTGTCATTGTGTTTAATATCATTTTCACAGAGATTGACTCGATTAAAATAGCTAAAGAATCATGTGTCGTCATATATAAAACTTGTTAAGTAATAGAACTAAGTAAAGAAAGAGAAAAAAGATGAACAAGACATATAACGAGAATATAAAAAGAAATTAAAAAGGATTAGTGGGTTTTTAATAAATCTTGGATTCTTGGGTAGCTGGAGCTGTCCAGTATGACTTTACTGCAAAAAGAAGCTTTTCCCTTTCCATAGGTCCATCTTCATGATCCACAATCTGGCTATCCCAGTTCAGCCCATCTGCTATCCTCTTTACTTTAACCAATATATCTACGTCGTCTCTGATTATTACACTTCCTTCTGGTCTTAATATTCTGTCCATTTCAAGTAATATATCCTCCATTTCACACCTGTCGATACAAGTACAAAAGACAAAACAGTCTCATATATAATTCACCATCCCTTTGTATATAGAATTTAATAGCAACATAAGTTACCTGTCTTCGTAGAGAGTAAATACAGAATCACCATGGATAAGATCATATGTTCTTGGGTAAGTTGACATGGCCTCACACCTACAAAACAATGCTCACTGTAAATCAAAGATATACTAATGCCTAAATGTAACAAAAAAGGTAAATCACAATTGAATAAAGCATGGACGAGTGAAAATTCATATAGCCACCCCACATGATTGTAATTGAGGTGTAGAGTAGTTTGGGTAGTGGAATTACCAGCTTTGATATGTTCCAATTAATCCTCGTTCATAAATAACACCAAGTGTGTTGACCTTAGCTTCAACAGGAACTATATTCATCACCCAAACAGGGTCATCAACCAAATTGGCAGCAAAACCACCAAGGTTGGCATTCATATCTAGTAGATTTCTGTATCTGCCTGGTTGGCCTAATTGATTATTCACCGTCTTGTAGTAAGACATTCTTCTTTTCCATAGTTGTGAATCCTTCTTGAAAGTGTCAGCCGTGATCCCCTCTACAGTTCCCCTGCTAATCCTAGGCGGTATTGCGTGCAATCTTTTAGGCCATTTTTCCAATTGTCCACCAGCTACCCTGTCTTCACTTGATACTTCAGGCAAAGGAGTTAAACAAGTTTCAATCTCTGTGTACCTGATGAATACATCAAATGAACATGGAATAATCTTAACAAATGACATCTCGAGTATACTCTAACTACATTGTCTAATTACGATTAGAATTAAGGTGCACGAACCAGGCTTTATCAGGATCTTGGGCAGGGCACATGGGCGGATTTCTCGACATCTTTCGTGATTCTTTACACTGTAAATGATTGTATGGCTTCTGCCAAATTGCAATGTCATCTTTCTCAACAAATTTTTTCCAGCAAAGGCTCTTAGCCACCTGCTCAATTTTGGTTTGCTCAGCATTTAGGTCTTCTCTGGTTCTTTCCCAGCCTTTCCAGTGTTTCCTCCAGTTGATCGGTGGACCGGAAAGGATCCAATATCCACCAGGTCTTAGAACTCTGTCAACTTCAATCAAGTACGTACCGTCTGATCCATATATATAAGTACCAACGCAAAGAACTTTTATTACCATTATGATTTACAAAAAGTATTAACAATGACGACTGTACTGAAATGGTTACTGGATTTGAGAATTACGAACCATATTCGCCCCAGGGAATGAGGCAACGAGAGCAATGGGCCATGTCAAAAGCTCGAGATGGATAAGGAAGCCTCTTAGAGGCAATAACTCCAATCAAAGCAGGAACTCCACGCTCAAGAGCAAATTGAACCTGTGCTTCATGTGTATCCCTAGGTGCAAATGACATGGCTAGTATATTCCTTGACAAAAGATAAGCTCCCCAACTCGCCACCTGTGTAAATTGTACCAGCTTCTTAAGATGAACTTATATATGCACAAAATCCCATCAATAAAGATGAAATGAAACGCGCATTTTCCAACTTATAGGTTTATGTAAGATTAATTTCGAATGAAAACGTACCAAGTCATGAAACGCGCATTTTGCTAATACATAGTTTTGATTGGTAATTTAAATGTGACGGCCATACAAGATATATCCAAATTGAGGAACATATTTTATTTTTTTATATATCCATTTAAATAAAAATATGCTTCATGCAATACTGCCAAATTGTTTGGTCGATAGCATACAGGTTCATTGTAGAAGAAAGAGACATCATGCATGCATTGCCAGGTGTACAAGAGATATTATACATAGGATCAAAAAAGCTGCCGGTATTCTTTTTTTTCCATCCACTCGCTATGCTAATAATCCAAACAAGAGATGAAGATCACTTTCGTCATTATCTCTTTAGAAAACAGAGTTCACACAATTGATTCAAATCTTGTAAACATCAATTTAACCAAAACAAGCTACTTTAGGACTTTCCCCGACTTCTAACATGTGGAGTTAGTCTTTCTTACCAAAAGATCAGGAAGCGAATAAAACGGAGAAGAAAACACCCATAAAAGGTAAAAAAGAGAAAAAAAATGAAAAAATAAATAATTAGCAAGTGTTTTGCGTGATGCATTCAATAATGCCCTGTTTTGAAAGAAAAAAATCGACTGATAACAGAAACTTCAACAATTAATTAATGCTCTGTTTTGAAAGAAGAAAATCGACTATCAGAGTTAATAATGGAAGTAATGAAGATAAAGAAAGTGAACTTACCCCACAACCAGTATCAATGGCGGTCCTAATGGAACCATCTTTTAGATTAATCAATTTTCCAATATCATCAATATATGCATCTGCACCATTAGGAAACATAGTACCACCACCAGGGAATTTAAACCGGTCGCCCTCAAATCGAATCCAGTTCTGAACAGCTTTCTCGACCGTCAGTTCTTTGTGTGGAACATTAGCGTACCAAGCCAAATCCCTGCTCAGTGGCCACTTGAACGGATTCTTGTAACCATACGGAGCTGGTATACGGCATTTCAGTAATTCATTCTTTTCAGGGCAATGTCTTTCCCTGTATATCAATCTATCTCTCTTGAATTTCAATGATCTTTTTTGGTCTTCACAGGGAGTGTACTCGCTGAACTTAACGTCACACGGCGGGTATATTTTAACGGCGTCATCTGGGGCCACAGCTCCGCCATCATCAGCGGCGTGGTGAGTTCTGAAGTCTAGTGGGGAGGAAGAAGAAGTAGATGATACACGGGAAGTAGTAATAGAGGTATTATTTTGAGAAGAGAAGCAATTAGTGGTAGAGGCTATGGTAGATGTGGTTAAGACGCGAAGGCCAACGGAGCTGTGTTGCAAGTAGCCAGCGTAATAACAAGCACAACAGAGGAAAGTTACGGCAGCTAAAGAATAATAAGGATTGAGTTTTTTCCAAGAAGAAAAAGGGAGTGTGGCTGATGACGGTTTGGAGGTTGGAGTATAGTAAGGGGTTTGGTTAGAACCCGCCATTGCAGAGAGCAAAGCTGTCCTCAATTTGATCTGAAGGGGATATGATAATACTGCTGGCTGGTACGTTTATAGGAGTTAGTGAGAAGAGAAGGACGTTAGGAGTGTAGGGGTGGGGGTGAAGTGGAGTTGGGATTGGTGGGAGGGGGGGAGTGTTTAGATAGAGATTTGTGTGTTAAAATAAATTCAAGTTGGACATATTAAGCGGAGTTTACTACTACTAATGTCTAAATGTATTGTTTAATGGGACGTAAGAATAAAGAAAGGAANTTATTTCAATTCTTTTTGTTATTTTTGGAAGATTTTGACTATTTTTATTAAAAAAAATTAAAAATATTATTTGCTAATGAAATTTAATCAGTTTTTTGAAAAAAAAGAGACGATAAATTTTCAAGTTCCATTAACTATTACTCCCTCCATTTCATATTATATGGGTAGTTTGATTCAGCACGGAGTTTAAGAAAAAAAAGAAGAAGACTTTTGAAATTTGTGGTCTTAAAAATTTAAGGGGTAAAAAGTTTGTGGGGCCATGCCATTTGTATGGCTATAAAAGCTTCTCAATAAGGGTAAATGAGTAAAATGAAAGAGTTTAAAGTTGAATTATTTCCAAATTTAGAAATATGTCATTTGTTTTGGAACACACTAAAAAGGAAAGTACATCATTTAATATGAAACAGAGGGAGTAAGTTTTTTTCCCCTCACAAAATTTCAATATTTCTTCAAGTAAAATACATGTTTAGACATGACTTCAACTTCCAAAGAGTATTTTCCAACACAACTTCAAAAATCCTTTTGATGTTTTATACTTCAATACCACACAAGAGGGGGATGATTTGTGTGGTATCCAATTTTTCGTGTACACAAATTATAGAAGGACCTGGTTCATCTACGTGTTCCTTACACTACAGTTGCGGAATAATAAATACAGAAAGTAAAAAACACAAGTATTTTTACGTGGAAAACACCCGGCTCAAAAGGTGAAAAAATCATGACTTACTACCCAGTAGAATTTTCTTCAAACACTTCACTACAACTCTAAGCCAACAACAAAGTTTACAAACTTTTGCAAAAACTTAAGGATTAACTCTAACCTTTATAGCAACCAGCCATGGGCTGTTGCGACTACTTCAAGTTAACTCTGACTTGAACAATACAACTCGAGCTTACAACCTCTTGCAAACATAAGGATTAACTCTAACCCTTATAGCAACACGCCGCAGGATGTTGCGACTACTTCAAGTTAACTCTAACTTGAATGATACAACTCAGGTACCTAGTACAATTTACTTCTAAAAAAGCTAAAAGGTACAACTCAAAACGCATAATACACTTTCAACTAGAAATAAAGAAAGGCACATAAAACTTTTTAGGGAGATGGTTCTTCAATTTAATTCGTATAGCTTCAGGATTGCACTCATAAATCTCAGAGGAATTGCTCACAAAATGTCCTGCTATTTTGCTCTCAATTTATGCTTAACTTCAGTATATGTGCATCATCTGTAAAAGAGAACACAACTGATATATATAGAGTTAGTAAATATAGATTAACTAGAGTTCTATTGCTTTACTCTTCCTTGGTGGAAGAGTTCTAGTCAACTTCAACTTCTAAGTCTTCTCTTATCTTGGATAGAGTTACCTTCAAGTAAGGAGTCATGCTCCTTATCAAATATGCAACATTTTCGTTCAAGAATTATCAGAAATAACCACTTATACTTATCTCTTTTACCTGTGTACACTGTCCATGGACCTGGTTCACATATTTGTTCCTTTGTCAATCATCAAAACCAAAATTGCTCAGGTCAATATCTTTTTTTCAAGTTTCAACCAAATCTACATCTAAACACTAGCTAATTTATCTAAACACTAACTTTTTTGAAGTTTTAACCAAATCTTTGTATAAACGCTAGCATAGTCCAAGGAATATTTTATAATATGAGTGTATTTTCACCTATTACTACAAAAGATTGTTTTTCATTTTTTTTAGGTTTATCCACTAATGTTTGTATAGAGAGTTACATGTTAGGATTTAAATCTTTTTACACCATCGAAACATAAAACTTATATTCATTTTGTAATACTTATTTTAAACGCAAATACAAGGAGACGTATTATTTACGAGAGATTTAATTAATATAATTAGAAGTACACTAAGCTTGTTTGGATGGTTGTTACATGTTGGATTATATCGTATTGTTACTTCAAATATAATATTTGTTTTATTTATTATTTAAATTTTATTGTATCGTTTTGTTAAATCCATCGTTACGTAGCGATGAAAAGTTCCACTTTATGTGACGACCGATTTGTTGTGATCACATCGTTACCTTATATTTTTCTCTTATCTTTTCATTCTTTATTATATTTAATAATCTTATTTTATCTTTTACTCTACCTTTTGATATACCAATTCTATCTTGTACCTTACTTTTTCTTTATGATATTGTAAGTTTATTCGTCATATTGTTGGTGCATAACATCATAAAATGAAGACAAATACTACTATTTATCTAAATAATGAGTAGTCATCAAACCGATACGATATAATATAATACAGTACAATATACTAATATAATATGATACATTATCATGAAACGACACATAACAACCAGAAACAAGAGGTAAGAATTGAGATGGTTTTTGTTTACTAGTGTTGACTAGGGGTGTTCATGGTTCGGTTTGGGTCAGTAAGTCGGTTTTTAAATATTGAAACTAAATCAAACCAATTAAGTCGGGATTTTTATCGATTCGGTTTTTGTCGATTTTTTGGTTATTTATCAGGTTTTTTCTTAAATATGAGACATACACTATCAAACGCATATTCCGGCGACTACACTTTCAACATAATACTATCAAATCAACTGTTCTTTGAGAAACCTATTATTTACCAAGATATATTGATGATAATTGAATCAAATAGTGATGGATAATTTAAGTACTCAGCTAAAAATCGATTATTTTAACATGAAATAAATTCTTGTACTTAGAAAAGAAAAGTACCAATCAAACTAGAATTTAAATGCAAAGAATTAGATTATTATAATAGCAAAGAACTAGACTAAAAATACAGATGACTAAAAATATAAATGTACATAGGTGTAATAATAAATTTAAATAGCTACTTTTATTCAATTTTATTGAAATATAGTTATACATACTGTGTATGTATTTAATTTTTCTTTGTAACCACAATTAGTTTAGCTAGCTTAGTTAATCATAGTTAGTTGGTAGTTAGTTGTGTCCTAGATGTCAAGTTAGTTGGAATTAGTTAGTGGAGTGGTACCCCGCGCGTATATATGCACTATTAGAGTGTGTAATACAACACATGCTCTTGTCCTCTTTTCTAGATCGATTTCCTTTTTCTTCTAGTTCATGTGAAGCTTCTAGAGCTCATCAATGGAGTCTCTAACAAATGGTGAAGTTTGAGATTCCAAAGCCACAACTTGACATGGTATCAGAGCAGAGAAATCTCCGACTTAGACGTCCCATAAATCAAGCAATCTAAGTTGTGTTCTTCGTCTTGATTCAATTCTCAATCGATCCACACAGTGTGAGCTTTACCTCATCTTCAATTTCATTTTCCTAAGTTTTCTCCTTCTATTTTTTTACTCTGAGTTCCTTGCATTTCTTAATATGGATGTTGTCGATCAAACCGATGTAAATAATAAAAATACTGCTAATGTCAAAAATGTTAAACCTACCGTTAATTCTGTTCTAGATCCTAGCAATCCTCTCTACCTACATCTGTCGGATAATCCTGGAACTATGCTAGTTAGTGTGGCTTTTAGTGGAATTGGATATAGATCCTGGAGGCCTGCAATTTTGCGTGGTCTTTCTGTAAAAAAAAATAAGACTGATTTCATTAGTGGATAGTGTAAGCGTCCAGATCCCCAATCTCTTAAGTTTAGATAGTGAAAAAGATGTGATGATATGGTGACTTCGTGGATTCTAAATTCACTTTCAAAGGAAATAGCGGACAGTGTAGAATATGCAAATGATGTTGTTGAATTATGGAGAGAATTGGAGGATCGATATGAACAAACTAATGGTGCGAGATTGTATCAAATCCAAAAGGAGATTAATGATCTGTCTCAGGGAATTCTGGACATCACAAGTTATTACACTCAGTTGAAGAAACTCTGGGAAGAGTTAAGCACTTTGAGTGCCAGAACTCAATGCAACTGTCAGTGTACTTGTGGTTCTAAGAAAGGTATGCACAAGGCCGAACAAGATAGGAGATTGATTCAATTCCTCATGGGGCTCAATGAGGTGTACAGTGTTGTGAGATGTAGTATTCTTATGATGAATCCTCTTCCTTCAATGGCACAAGCTTTCTCTCTGCTGATTCAAGATGAAAAACAACGTGAGATGAGACCTTCAAATCATATGGTTGTAGAGTCAATGTCACTACATGTTAATGCTGCAAGAAATGCCAACAATTCCAGGAACAATAACTTCAGGACTAACTACACTCTTAATTCTAATTTCCCAAACACAAATAGGTTAAGACCTTTTTGTGACTATTGTAAACGTCCAAGGAGCAATACAGCCAGTTGATCAACATACTTCAGCACTTCAACACCAGTAGTTGAGGAGAAGTTTCTCAGAACATAAGTCATGGGGCTGGATCTATAAACCTTGTTGTAGCAAACATGAACTTTGCAGGTATAATAACTTGTACATCCTCTATTGATTTTGGCAAGTTATCTTGTAAATGTTTCAAAACTTGGACTGACACATGGATTTTAGACTCAAGAGCCTCAAACCACATGACCTTCAATAAAACTACCTTAGTTGATATTAGGATCTTACCCTATCCTTTGCTAGTCACTCTCCCAAATGGCTATAGAGTTAAGGTAACAGAAATTGGCAGTATAAATCTTGCTCCTCATATCACCCTACACAAAGTCATGTTTGTTCCCACTTTCAAGTTTAATCTCATCTCCATATCCTCTTTAACTGCACAGCTTAAATCCTTAATAGCCTTTACTGACACATGTTGTCTAATGCAGGCCCCTTGAATGAAGAGGCCTCTGGAGATTGGTAAGATCAGGATGGTCTGTATCTCTTGTGCTCCCTTTGTTTGAAGAATGCCAGTACTTATTCTACATATGTTTCTTCCTTTCATGTTTCATGTCATGCTTGTAACGTACATAG